TATACAAATAGTTCTTCTGGGGAGGGGGTGGGTGAAGGGACCTTATCTTTTTAAATGCTAAGTTGGTAGGTGGAGGAAGCCCAAATAAAATCTTTCTTGTTGCCAGAGTCTTGGCTCTGGAAAGACTTTGGCTCTGGCTACTTAGACAATTTGCAAGAGAAAGAGAATTACTTCCTGGTGATTGTGGACTCTGGTGGGCATATTTACTCTTCCCCCCCCCCCTATTCTTATAGAAAATCTTCCCTTACGGGCTAAAAACCGGGAGAGTCAGAGCCTACGCACCCTGAGTCCAGGGCTAGTTGGATAAGTTTAACTAGTAACTACCGCGTTTGGTCAGAAATGTTCTACCGGCTCCTACCCCTTCTCACCTATTTGTCCAAAATCCGTAATTATTTCGGGTTTTTAAGTCATTTCTATTCTGTATATACGTGATTTGGAAGGAGCATTGGGTTTGTTATACGGGAACCAGTACCCCTCAATCCAGCCGCACTCTCCTCGAAGTAATAGCCTCCAACCAAACCTAGACATAGGACATCCAAATAAATCAACAAACCAGCTCTCAGATCGTGCCCTCGATCCCCACTGCCAGGACAGATAGATTTATTTTTCTTTTTATGTTCTCCCCCAGGTATCACTTACCTGCTGTGGGGACAGAACGCTAGGCGCGACTGCTCCCCAACAAAGCACAGGTGAATTTGCACAACTACCGTGGCTCCGGGCAGCCCTCAGGCTACTTCCTCCTCCGCCTCTTTCCTAGCCTTTCTTTCTCTTTCCAAGACTCCCAGCCCACTGGTTCTTTTACCTGATAGGTGGCGCCCAGCCTCACATAACTTCACACACTCAGGAATGACCTGAGAAGATTCCAGCGCCTGGGCACTACATCCCGGGGCAGCTGTTTTACTATTCTTGGGGCAAGCCAGTAAATTAGTTGCAAAGGAGAACAGCAAGAAAGGAGATGGTGGAGCCCTTTCTCGAATGAAAGTCTTGTGACTTTGTAGGGTTTCCTTACTTGAGGACAGACACTACTCCTACATTAGGGCTACCTGTCTGAGGCCAAAGGAAACCACTCACCATCTTCTACCTCAGTTCCCCTAACTGCACTTTTGGAAGTGCTGATGAGCATCCTGGTAATTTCACCTTAACCATTTGAACGAAAATTGCTGGAGTTATATAGCCAATCTAGGACCTAGTGGTTCAAGTTAGTTTAGGTTTCAGACTTGTGAGCCTTGGATTAATGTGAGTTTCAACTTGACCATTATCATCTAATTGAACCCCCTTATTTTACAAATGAGAAAACAGGTCCAGTAATTTAGCTGAAGTCATGTAAGGTTTTCTCTTGTGTAACTGCAACTGGGTGCTAGCAGAGCTACCCTTCCTTGTGGATAACTACATTTGCAATCAGAGATAGCTTGCATGTTTTAAGAATAAGGAAGTCCATGGATGCTTCTCTCTACCCATGTGTGGCTAAACTCTGAAGGATTCTGGCACTTTGGGGATAATGAAGCAACTTCCTTATTGGCAGTTGATCTCAAGAACAGCCCCCAATTCAGGGGACATTTAAAAGGGAGTGAGTGACCTGCCCTTAAGTATTTCATATTCCAGAAGCAGACACTGTCAATTCTATTGGGTCCTATCTCTGTTGACACACTTCAAGCTATCTCAGCAATGTCCCTATGGCTTCCATGTGGCAGTGAGAGCAAAGGGAACTCAACTAAGTTGGGTGAACCTAAGCCTCTGGCTGCTTTTTGCTGCTTTGTGTGTCTTTGCCAAATCACTGGTGCTCCAACAGAAATTCTGAAATGGTTGTGTCTAGGCTTGGAGGCAAATTGCTGAGATCTTAAGTCCAAGAGTTGGAAGTGACTGTTACTAAAGTGAGTTTCTGAATCAGAAAAGATATACAAGATCTAAGTCCTGACCTGGCTTGCCAGAAAACATTTACCTTAAGGGGGATAGTGCAGAGCAAGGTGAAATACAAAATACCTATTCAGCAGTCCCACAGGCTTATGTTCTGATGTTTAAATTATAAATTAGTGATTACTTAAGGCTTGTCAACTTGTCCTTATGCAAGCTCTTGTAAAGGAAGTAAGTAGGTGTGCCATACCAGATTTTTATTGTACATTGAGTGCCTTTCTATTTTCCCCTTTTGGGGAGACCCCAGATATGAAACAAACCTAAATGAAGTAATTTTCTCCCAAGCACTAGTGAAAAGGGTCCCTTAGAGGAGGGGAAAAGAGCTTAGCACTTCCTTCGCCCTAGCAACAGTTAAAGTTGGTACATAAGAAATAGCCAGAGAGGTTGGTCCTCATTTATAGCCATTAGGGGATCTATTTCCCTTAAAGAAAAAACACTTTTTTAGATGGTTTCCCAATAGCTTAGAACAGTCATGAGTCAGTGAGTTGAATTTTGTGGCTTGGTCCTCAAGTACCTCCCATTTTCATACATTAAGACCACACGTGTATTCTTTTTGAGCTTCTGCCTCAACCAATCTTTCTATTCTTCTGGTACAGAGAAGTCATCAAAGTCAGATACATCAGGATCCATTCCTGAATTTGAAAAATCTCATGATAAGTACTGGCTTGATGTGATCTACTTCCCAAGCCCCTTATTCTTTACCTAATGTTGATTTAAGAGACCTTAGCTTCTACAGGACTAAGGCTGAATTTTTTTTATATTAATACATCCAACATCTATATAGCCATCTAATATGCAACTTTAATAGAAAATGGATGTTCCTCTGATTATTTCCAGATGGGAGCTATATAAGGATTTTGTGACTTTCATTCCCTTATGGGTCTCTTACCTTTCTGAGAAAAATGGTTTTGTACACTGTCCTATTGCTCATTTGATCCTCTAGGGTCTCTGCCTTTGAATCTGCATCTTCAGTGTAGCTCCTTGGTTTGCTTTCAGTATCCATACTTGAAAAGATACTTTTGGGCCACTGGATGTTGAGCCCTTCTTTGCAGACATACTTTTAAATGCCATCTCTTCGGTATTTGCCTGACCTTGGCCAACTGGTGGCAGATGTTGGGACTCAAGATTAACGATGGGCAGGTGCAGCCTGAGGGTGTGTATTAGACCTCTCAGGTTTTTTCTATTCTAACCTGCTTTCTCAATTGCTAATTCACCTCTAGGTGTCTCTGTAATCAAGTATCTGCTTTGATTTAACCAGTCTGGTGACTTCATTCTCCTTTGCTCCCAACAGTAGAATTGATTGATGTGTATTGTTATTCAGTTCCATCTGACGCTTTGGTGCCCAGGTGGACCATATCAAGCCAATATTGGCCTTGGAGTTTTCTTGGCAAAGACTGGAGTGATTTGCCATTTCCTTCTCTAGTGGATTAAGGCAAACAGAGGGCAAATGACTTGCCCAGGATCACACTGCTAGTGAGTATCTGAGGCTGGATTTTAACTCTGGTCTTCCTAATTCCAGGTTCAGGGGTCTACTCACTGAGCCACCTAGCTACCCCAATATGCATTGTAGAAGTGATTAATGTAATACTTCCTTTGGAATCTCAGCACAGCACCACCATATTGCATTTCTAGATTTGCAGATATGCTTGTCATGTCATTTCAGGCTTTGTGACCTTTAGGATGTACACAAAACCAAGCACAATGCCTGGCACAAAATAAGCTCAATAAAAGTATACTGTATCTGTCCATCTGTCTGTCTATATGTCCATCTTTTGGCTCTGTGATCAGAGCCAAATCTACCCTTCTTTTCTAACAGTGGTGCCTACAAATGCAGTAGCATATTTGGCACATGGTTAATTCATTGTTGTTCTCTTTGGATGTATAGCTCTGAGATAATCTCAGCTTTATATAAAGGGAAACTTTTTATTTATTATTTTAACTATTTATTTATTTATTTGTATAAAGGGAAACTTTTTATTAAAGTATAGTTCCAAATATCTCTATGGGCAAAACATCTTTTCTCGTGAAAGTTTCTATTTTTTAAAGCACCTTCTCCTCCCTAGAGGACAGCTTGCAGATTAATTCCAAGGTACTATTTCCTACTTTCAAGACAGCAGGAATGTGTGAGGTAGTATGGTGTAGTGGATAGGGCACTGGACTTAGAAAGAGGAAAGACCTAGGTTCAAATTCTGCCTCAGAAACTTAACTAGCTATGTGACCCTAGACAAATCACATAACCTCTCTGGGTCTCAGTTTTCTTATCTGTAAAATGAGGAGCTAGATAGGACCTTTTCAGCTCTAAAAATTTGTGATAGAGAGTGCACGTTGTACAGTGGGCTTGGAGTCAGGAAGATCCAGGCTCAAATCTCACTTCCAATACTTATTAACTGCATGCCCCTGGGCAAGTCATTTAACCTCTCTGAGCCTCAGCTTCCTCATCTGTAAAATGAAGTGGTTGAGCTATGTCCTTTGAGGTCCCCTCCAGCTCTAAATCTGTGATCCTCTGAATCATCAAATGAGTCTAATAATTCACAGAACACTGAGTTGTCACCCCTCCAAGACTTTAATAAACATTACTTCACAATTCCTTAAGCTTTTTTCACTTCTTTTCAATGTTTTATGATGTCATTAGACTTATAATCTACATTTATTTCTAATATCAGGAAACCTCTATTATTTCTCTACCATCTTGTTGTTAAGTCATTTCAGTCATGTCCAACTCTTTGTGATACCATTTGGGATTTTCTTGGCAAAAACATTAAAGTGACTTGCCATTTCCTTCCATGGATTTTTATATTTATAACACCATAATACTATTCAACCAATTCAGCACCCATCTTTTTAGGACATTGCTCCATGATATGCAACAAAATTAGTAATATTAAAATAAGTAATAAGCATTCAAGGTTGTACATAATTGCACAGTAGTTGTATGCAATTTATATGCAGAATATGGACAATAAGAAAATATGCAAATCAACAGCAATGCAACAGAATTAAACAGAAAATCATGAAAAGTAGTATTAATAATTGTTTTCAAGTACATACATATAGCAGATAATAATGTTAGTGGCAGAAAGATTATGGGAAAAGGGCTTATATTCTGTAAGGCTTAGGGACAACACCCAACAAAATAGAAATTAAACAGAAACAATCAGGACTTTCCTGTAATAAATGATTGTAAATATCACAGTAGAAAACCAGAAAATGTATTAAAATCTGCACAAAAAGTAAAAACAAAAAAATCACTAAAAAGGAGACAGAGTAATACCACAGCTAGGATTAGTTTTCCCTAAAAGACAACAAAATTTGATTGGGACTTGATTGGCTCTGGTCAGCTAAAGGCATAAAAAGTCTCACCCAAGAGGAGACAGGGCCCCTGTGACTTTGTGGATTTCTAAAAAAACTCATGAATCACAAAACCTCACCCTGCTAACTAGACAAGTTAGAGATGGGGAGGGGGGCTCACATCTAGAGAAGCTAAATGCCCCTGTATATTTATTGCATGGCCTTGCACTAAAGTGAGAAAATTCTTCTTTGAAGGAATCTGACAACATTGCTGAAAACATCATGCTAAAAAGTACAGAAGCAAGCACACAGAACTGCTTCACTCATTGGTGACTGGAAAAGTGCAAGACCATTATCCATTATCCAGAACCCAGGCAAGCATGCCATCATGAAACTGACATATAATATTTATGAACTTCTGCAGGCAACCAAATTTTGCCGTGATTTTCCATAAACCCTCACACAACTGATGGTATCAAAGGCCTTGGTCAGATAAACAAACATTGTGTACAGGC